AAGAGCTATTTGTGTCTCTGCAGTTCCAGGGGACAACTGGGAACATTCTGGTTATTCAATTGGGTACAGAGTGAGTACATATTGTCTGTAGAGTATAATTAAGCCAAAACAATGATGTCTAGCACTTACTAGACCAACAAGCTAACTAACATGTTTTCTTTGATACCTCCTTGTGAAGCTGAAATGATTTAGATCACATATCAGAAAACAACTTTTTGTTTGACATTATTTTGCCTGCATTAAGTTTCCCCTCTATATCATGTGGGAAAATTGCATCTGCTTTTACTATCTAACTGGACATGTGGATACCAAAGCACTTGAAAATCTTCAATTTTTAGAGTGCTGTGAATATCTGAAGATAGTGATGTTTGTGCTGAAGATGTAGCAAATACAGAGGCCATTTTGCTGTCTTTACCCTGGCCAGATTAACAGTGGCTGTTATTTGAGTATCTGACTTCACATTTTGGTGCAAATCCACAGGCTCATTGTGTCCATGAATGACAACACAGCATCTTGTAAGAAACACGCCTTAGGGCGAGTAACACTCTGGGGCAGAGGGGAGCACAGTAAGGCAATAGATATTAGTTAGAGGAGATGGAGACATGAGGGCCATTAGGTTACTTACCTTCATCACTGCAGCCCAGACAGCCTATGGTCCATTTATCCCAGAGTGGGGTACAGCATGTTCCGATAAAACTTGTGTTATAACAAAAACATTTCTTGTCACATAGGATGATGTCAGGGTCCATAAAAACGGTTTCACTTCATCTTGGCTTAAGGTCAAAGTGTTCAAAAATATCCTTACTCTTCCAAGGCTAAAGTCATAAGACCTGAAGGTCTAAGGTGTGGCTACTGTAGGATATTTGGTCTAATGCATGCATAACAAGAGACTTGGTCTAAGGTGTGGTTACTCTTAACCCTCAAGGCCAAATAATGAGAGATTTAGTCTATGGTGCAGTTACAAAATGCTTGGAGAATTAAGGAAGAAAGGCTACTTGTCTCTTGCATCATGACAAAGAAGTCTTCCCCTCTTTGTTCAGGGTATATAAGAATTTTGAAGAATAAACTCTGGGTTTTCAGTATTCACTGGATTGTCATCCTGACTCTATCCAGTGTCTCTGTCTTTTCCTTAGTATCTTTACCTACCGTTTCTCAATCCACACTCACTCTCTCAGGTATGACCCAGGCAAAGTTGGGTTACTATTGGGTTACACTGAGGAAGAATGGTGGGCAGTATGTGTCCACGGACCCCAGCAGGGAGTGTTACACACTGCACAGTCTGCCAAGAGGTTGGACTTCAAGAACTTCGAGTTCACCAACTTTCTTAAACTCAGTATTTACTGGAATAAAAACCATTTTGGGGGGTGATTATCCATGATGGGACCCAAATGTAGCATTCTCTACTAAGTGATTAGATGATGAAATGATAAACTCAAGTTATAACTGAAGAAATATTTTAAAGAGGAAATTTGGAAGTTATTGGGCATGTCACCATGATTACAACACTCACAGCTGCCTCATTTAAAACAACGGAGCCAGAAGACTTTTAAAATCAGTGACCAAAAGCAAAGTGTCTACAGATCTTGGCACAGTAACAGTCCAAGAGACTAGAAAGGCTCGCTTCTCCTGAGTGGCCATTATTGGCTGCATGAAGAGGGAGCCAGTAATGCCCCCTGCATGATGAAATGCTATTGTCACCCAGGACCTCACGGGTTGTAATCTGAAGAAAAGCATAGTGTGTTGATTAGTAGATCACAGAGCAGAAGCAAACTTCCAAACTCATTCTATTTCGAAGGTATGACTTAGTGGGCTGATTTCTCTCCTGAATAAATGCCTTGGTCTGTCTCTGGACATAGACAAGGGTACTGGCTCCCAAGATAATGGTTAGGAAGACACAACTAAAAGCATAGCCAGTATGTGTGAAACAACAAGGCATGTAGGTGGCAGAGGAGATGTGTTTGTGAAGAAGAGAGGAAGTGGGGACTGCAGGATTCATTTCCAAGGAATGCGCTTAGTAGAAATGCACAGAAGCACAGGTGGCTGCAGACTTTGAGCCTCAAGTTGGCCCCAACTGAATAGGCCTTGTGCACTGTGTGTTGGTATCTCTCCTTCCCACATCCTCCCTTAGTGTTGAGCTTTCTGGGCCTCGCCTTCCTACTGAGAAGGTGTCCTGAGGAACATGGTAGTGGTGCTATAAGGAAGTGAACATCTTCACCTCTACCTCACACAGGGCCAGGTATTCAAGGAGCAGTGTACAAAGTCTAGGTCAGAGGCTCTGAAGTACTATGTGGTCACCAGGAGCAAAGTGAGAAAGGAACGTGTGTGGAGAAGGCATACCTGGGGAAAGGGACCAAGGCTGATGAAGAAGCCAGTCTTGATGAGAAAATCCTGTGTGGTAGATGGAGCTAGTGATGGGAGCTGGGAGGAGAGCCCAAGACTCTGGGGAAACCAGCCCGGGTAAGACCTGTCTCAAGAAGGAAGAAACTGGCGGGAAGACAGCACACAGGGTAGGAGACACCATATAAGTATTCTCTATTCTTTATCATCATCCAAGCAAAGAAGACAGAGAAGTGACTCAGAATAAGGCCTGGAAGCTGGGGAAATTGATGCCAGTTACTTCATAACTCAGTGAGTGCAGAGATATTGCTCTAATTTCTGAAGTGGCAAAAATTGAATATGACCCCTACTTCTATTACCTTGAGCTGGATGATCCTGGGAAGAACAGAACTCACCAAGCCTGGTGCCTTCATCTGAGAAATGGCCTGATCCTGCCAGTGATAAAGCCCCAGATTTCACTCCTGAGAGGGAGTCATCAGACACTTCATCACAGCCATGGTCACTAACAGATCCAGAGAGCCCACACCAGAGAGATCCCTTTGTGATGGACTTACAAGCATTTCTTGCTGAAGTTACCTCAAAAGTCACCAGCTTCCTCTCGGCTCACAGTTGCCTGGAGCCCTTGGCCAGGCAGCATGAAGCAACCATCTACTCAGCCAAGCCACAATGGGTTTCAGCACCACTGAGGGTCTTCCCTGTTTCTATGGCAACAGGTTTGGGAAACTAGGAAGTGGATGGATAGCGGTAGGTGTGGGAAGGTTCTCTTCATAGAAAGAGACACAGCAAGCTGCGTGTCAACTTTTGGGAATCTCCTTAGAAAGGAGATTCTGAGATAGACCCTGAGTCATCACCACTCCCGGCTTTGGAGGGTTCCACCAATTGTCACTCGATTGGAAGGTGCTGTCTAAATCAGAGTATGAGGGTCCTGTGTCTAGGTCAGGAAACTGTCACTTCTCATGACCGAATGTGACCCAGTTCTCACTCCCAACTAACATCTTCGGTGACCACTTCACAGCTCCGGGATGACCATCTTCCTTCCCCTGCTTGGCACTTCCCCGTCCCTCTCCTCTCGTCTCCTCCTCCTACCACAGCTACCCTTGAAGTCACCTCACACTGCCTAAGAGCCTCAGGCTGAAGTGCTGCTCATGGGGGCTACTTCTGTGGAGAGGACTCTGGCTGGTCCTTGCTGACCCCTCTCCCAGGTCACCTCCCTTGACCTCCCAGGCCTTTCCTTTTCCTGTCCTACCTCCAGGTTATGAGCTCCTCAAGGCATCTGGGGGCTTAGAAACATTCTATCCAGAGAATGTCTTGTTCTCTTTGAGTGTGTTGGACGGACACACACACCCACACCCACACCCACACACACACACACACACACGTGCACACACACACACACATGTGCACACACACACACACAATTGTGCATACGTATTTGGTATTTGCTGTCTCTGCCATATGCCAAGTACTTTGCTGAGCATTTTAATGTCGTTGTTGTGTTAATCTTTACAATAAATTTATATATGTCCTATTGTTGCCCTCTCCCAAGTTCAAACTATGAAACTTGAGTTGTAGTGAAATCAAGATTTGGCTTTAAGTCAAAAAAGTCAGTAAGTATTCAATTTGTGGCTGGCCAGATTCATCCATCTGTCTCAAGGATTGTTTTAACGTTCAGAAAAAAATCAAATGGTTTTCAGCAATGTGTAGGCTCTGGGTCAAGTAATGCCAAGTGTGTGAGCTTATTCACCATGCGACTCTGGGCTTGAGCCTTGATTGCCCCTATCTACAAAATGGAGTTAGTACCAGAACTACAAGGCTTTCTCATGAACTAAACCCTCCTGATTGGGCTTGGGACTAAGGGTGACGCCAGTGGACACCGCTTTCCAAGGGCCAAGGTTTAAGTATACAATGTTAAGAATAAGTCTGAAACCCAAGTAACCTTGGCCAGAGCATATCCCTTTTTGTCTCCCCAGCCTGTCCCAGCACTGCTTTAAGAAATTCATTATCACTCTTTTCCAGAATCAGCCTGGGTTGTATTTAGCTGTTATGATTCAGATATAAAGTATCTCTACAGACTCATGTGCCTGAATAACTAGTAGCACTGTTCAGAAACCTTGTAGAACCTTTGAGAGATGGGACCCAGCAGGAGGAAGAGGATCTTTGGGGACCATGTGGTTTATGTCTTGGCCCTGTTTTCTGTCCCAGACATGCTTGTTTGGTCTGCTGACATGTGAGCACACAGTCGTCATGTACTCCTGCCATCCTGAGCTACCCACTGTGTCTCCCTCATCACCACCGATCAAACTTCTTCAGTCCATAAGTCCAAATGCACTCTTCTCCTTTAAGTCACTTCTTGTCATGTATTTGGTCACAAAGAAAGAAGCCACCAACACAGTGATAAGGGGTAGAAGTGTTCTTTCTAGATGAGCAACTATTTCCATACTTCACACCCAGTGTTTACATGTCTACTCAGGGGGGCTTCCCATGGGTGTAGATTCTCTATGGAGAATGTGATGAATTCTAATGTAACTGGCTTTCTAGACGCCACATAGTGTGATGTTTGTTTATAAAAGAAACTTGGACGTATTGAGCATCAATCTTTCTCAACAACAATCACTAAATGAAAGTCTCAGCTGTGTGTTCAAGTAGTTCAAATCCGTATTGCCATGCTTGCTTTGTCAGCATGTATACTATAACTGGACCACTACAGAGAAGATTATCAGGTCACCTGTGCAAGGAAGAACTGAAAATTGTTGAACAGCTCCATATTTTTGGTACCTGGTAGGAAAGGGGAAATCAGGTTTATCCAATGGAGTATCACAGAGTACATCAGTCACCCTCCAGGGCAGTCCCCATGCCCAGGAGGAGTTGGTCAACATAAAACTGACTCCATGCTTTGTTGTTTTTCTCTTGTGAGACTTTTGTGGTTTTTTCTTTTTTCTTTTATGTTATTTGAGAAAAAACAAAGTTAGAAGGGTAGGGATGTGGAGAGAATCTGGGGGGAGATGGAGGGAAGAAAGAATATGATAAAATACATTGTATGAACATTTTTAAATAAAATTTTGGTTAATTAAAATTATTATTGCCAGTAGTAGTAGTAGTAGTAGTAGCAGTACATGCTGAACACCTTTAATCTGGAAATGCTAACTCCAAATGCTTCAAAAATCTAAAAGTTTTTGGGTGCCAATACATCAGCTCAATTAGGAAATTTGGCATCCACCTCATGTCACAAGGCACAAGCATATTAAAGATACTGTATAAAACGACATGAAATGAGTTCAGGCTTAGACATGCTCCCATCTTTAAGGTAGCTCTTTATGTGTATGCAAAGGCTCCAAAATATGAAATCCACAACCCCTCCAGACTTCAGCAATTTTAGCAAAAAAAATCTTCAACCTCTAATATAAGTACACATGATAGCTCTCAGGAGCTCATTCGTGAGTGATCACCTGGGCACACTGTGGAGGAGTTGGGAGAAATGTTTGAGATGACTCAATGCCAGGTTTCAGTCCATGAATTAATGAGACCTAGAGAGTGGGATGGAGCAGATAAACCATGCCACACCCACTGTTCACACACTCCTCTACAAGAACACAGGCAGGCCTCAGCAATCTTCTTATAATTTAAAGCATGATGCCTTCTTTGTGTAGATATTTTAGCATATGACATGCGTTATAAGATATATGAAAAACAGGCGCCTCCATCATACATCATACACACATAGCACACATATTCAGGCACAGCCTGGAAAGATGGTGTTCAGTGTGCTAAAAACAAGAGATTCCGGAAGGAATAATAACTCAAAACCAGTGTGGGACAGTTTATAATGACGACCAGGATGTCCTTGTTAAGAATGCCATCTATTATTAGACTGACACAGCTTCTGAAGGGACACAGGAAAAGCTCGTGACCTGAGACACTTCAGGCAGGACTAGGCACTGCCGATAGCAGGATGGAAACAAAGTGCTCATTTGCCATGAGATGCCAGAGACAGCCTCAGGCTCCTGCTTGAAGCAGGGGAGGGCGCAGACCTTGGGAACACAACTGAGAGTCCTTTGTGCATAGGAATCTAGGGACAATGGGAGGCAATGGAGGGTGTAGTGTCTAAGCCACACAGCGGGGCAATTAGTAGGTTGCACATCTGGCAAAAGTGGTGGCCTCGGTGTCCAGATTTCTTGGTGTGTGACAAGGTGACATGTAGAAGCTTTCTGATTAATCAAAGGACAGCATGGTATGATCCTCATGGTGCCTCCTGAAAGTGCTGGCAGTTGGTGGACCATTGTTCTGCAAAGGGTGTTAATGGATATCGAATCCAGGAAACCCAGCCATAGCTGGACAGTCTCTGTGAGGGAATGTTACAATGGCTGTGGTGTTGAGAATCACAGGATGAAGAAATTTTCACTGATTCCGTGCCCAAGTACGTACTGAGATACACAAAGTTCACTATCCCAGATGGTCTATTTATAAGCTGAGTATCCCTTGCCATGAGGTGAGAAGCACTTCAGATTTGGGGTTTGATAAGATTTGGGGATATTTTCAAAGACTTCACAAGTTGGACAACTCTAATATAATATGAAAACCCAAAAATGGAAAATATTTCAAAATCTGGAAATCCAAAACGTTCCAAAGTTAAAATCAGTTATTAAAGTATTTACGACTTAAGATTTTTTTTTGGATAGGGACATGCAACCTTCAGACAGCAGCAATGAAGTGTATTGGACCTAGGAGCTCCTGCATGTAACTGCTGTGTCCCTGTCTGCGTGTCCCCCAGGTGGAGGTTCCCGCCTGTCCCTGAGCTACACTGGTCAAACTCTACCCACAGTTCCCATGAACTGGATACCACAGTGGAGGGGTGGGGGTCTGAGGCTAGGTTTGCCAGGAAACAAGAGATTCCAGAAGGTTCAGGAAGAGGGGATTGGGTTAGATATCAATTCTATTAAAATGTTTCAGAATGTCATGGGAGGCCTTGATGGCGTTGCCCAAAGTGAGGTGAGAAACGGCATGAGCCATCAGGAAGCCATTTCTGACAGCCAGCATCTAGGAGAACGAACTGATACTAAGCAACTTGTGGGTGCCAGCTCCAGCAGGGTCTGAACAGCTCCCTTCCATGGGCACCTAAGGTGGTTCCGGTGTGGGTGGGCAGGCAGATTGATGGATGTGTCTTCCCCAGGATTGATACAGGGCAGGCGCACTGCCAGCCATGCCAGAGCCAGCAGAGGGAGCTCTCCAGGCAGGTGCAGACTGGCTGCCTAGTAGCTGGGGTTCTCCTAAACTGGAGGGGTGTGAACAGTGGAAGCAGCTGGCAGGGGTCTCGGTTGCCAGGTAAGGAGGGAAGATGCAAGGAGTTTACCTAAGCTGGGGAGTGCGGGTTCTCTGTCTGCACAAGTGAAGTCCCTGCAGCCAGGGCAGGTGGGCTGGATGGGCAGCCGGCACACTGAAGAGGGCCTCACAGGCCGCAAAGGAACACCAACTAGGGCACGCACAACCTTGGTACTTCTCGGGGTCTCATTTATTTGGAGTTTACCCTGATCATTCTCCCGGCCCCTTCATCCCCTACCTGTGCAGGCTGCCCTGCCCTTCCCGTGTGGGGCTTTTCATTTACCTACCTCCCAATTGACCAGGGACAGTCAACCAAGGAGTCAGGGTTGGAAGGGCTTTTCTCCCTCTTCCAAGTGTGCTATCTGCTCAAAAATGGCAGGCCTAGAGTTATGTACCCGCAGAGCAAAATGTAATCTTCAGGTTTCCCTGGGGTCCAACTGAAAAGAGTTACAGCTAGATACCCTGCCAATCTCAGGGTCTCCTACAGGTTTAGCAAACTTAGCCGTCTCAAGTGACCCCACAGAAGAAAGGGAAAATGCCCTCCCAGTCACACCCAGTCAACCTTCCAGAGCCAATCAGTTTTCTCAGTCACAGAGGCAGCCATACTTGTCTGGATGTGGTGCAGTTCTAGGCTGCAGACCTTCCCTGCTGTGTCTCTGGACATCTTGACCATTGTGTGCCTGCCCTGTCATCCTGTGGGTGCTTGTCTGTGAGCCAACAGCACCAGGCAGACCTGGGCCAGTAGCTTCCCCTGGTGCCCGGAAGCCCCTGGGGAGTGGAGCTGTGCATTCAACCATGGGCGCATTCATCCTCTAAGGGTGAGTGAAGTCTCTCTCTCTCTCTCTCTCTCTCTCTCTCTCTCTCTCTCTCTCTCTCTCTCTCTCTCTCTCTCTCTCTCTCTCTCTCTCTCTCTCTCTCTCTCTCTCTCTCTCTCTCTCTCTCCCTCCATCCCCCTCCTACAAGCATGTTCTTGAGCCATGCAATTTCAGTGGATAAACTGTCTGTTTATGATTAAAAGCGGTCATAGTTCATAAGGCTTTGCTCATTATAAACTTGCTTTATTTTGCTTTCTCTAAGAATTCAGAAATGCCCAAAAGAGCAACACAAACCCTTTTGTACCTGGCAGGAGCAGTGTGATTGTTTATGTCCAGCTGTTCCCTTTCCTACTGGCACAGCTGGGTAAACCGGAGCGCAGGCCAGAAAGGGGACATGGCAGTCTACAGAGCTAGGATGGCCTCTAAAACCAGTTGCCTGCAGCCCAGAGAGGACAGAGATCCAAATCCTCCATGCAGCTTCCAGCAGGAGAAACAATTCTTGCTTGTAGCACATGATTCTCATAGAAACACTAACAAACAAAAGGGAGGCAGTCGCCCAGCTGCAACACTATACTTTTAAACAAATTATTAAGTAAATAGTTGAGAGATTTCTGCCAACCATTCACTGGAAATTAGGAAGGCTGACTGGCCCCAGATTGTGGTGTTTAAAAAGAATCAGAGTATTCGTGTTATGAAAATTTAACCAAGATATCCACATACATACAGGTTGTAACTGGGTTCCCTTCATGGGTTGAGATACCCTTTGCTCTATTTCCAACTTTTAGATTAAAAATTACAGAGTGGACAGGCATTCATTATCATTTATATGAGAGTGTTCAATGATCAGACAGGCTGTGGGGCTTTATAGGGAACAATTACTTAGAAGTACAAAAGATGCCCTCTTGGTGACATGGTGTTTGGGGATGGCATCAGTGTGGGAGTTGGGTATGTAAAAAACTAAAACTAGAGATGTATCTCAGAGAAAAACCCCTAGGTTCAGCTCCCAGTATCTGAAAACAAAACAAACAAACAATGAACACAGAGAAAGTTACTGTGCAACCACACTGCTGGTGGTAACAGTACCTAAAATGATGCCTTGGGAGTCGCTGGACAGGGTCAGGTACTGACCAAATCCAAGCCAGATGGTTGCCCTTGTGCAGGACTGAGGGTCATTGGAGTTGCCCCCTGAGATTTCCCTGCCCACTCACAGGCTGGTCCTGGCTCAGAGGTGGACACAGACAGCTGGGGATGCTGGGCTAGAAGCAGAAGTATAGACAGAAGGCTCTGTCAACACCTGGCCATGATGGCTAACAGGCCAAGCATGCAAGCTGGCGGTGTCTAGCGATCGGTACTCTTTCTAGTGTGATTCTGCTGAGGCAGGCAATGAACAGGGGTGTTTGACAAGAGAAATGTTTCCAGAAGGTGTTTGAACCATGTCTTGTCTTTTCTGTATTCTGAGGCTTTGGCATCTGGAACCTTGCTGACCCTGATGGTTCCTCTGAGGGCTAGCTAATGCTTGCCAAATCTCCTGTGGAAGCGCAAACTAACCAATCAGGACAGGCTGAGGTTGTCAAACAACCAAAACGAAATCTGCTTGCCTTTCTTTCTCTTTCTTTCCTTCTGCCTTTCCAGGGAACAG